GGCTGTTACAAGCACGTGTGGCTCTTGTAGAGGGCTGGGATTGGATTCCCACCACCCATATGACAGCTCATAGCAGTCTGTACAGTTCCTGGTGGTCCCACCCCTCTTCTTACCTCCGAGGGCTCATACACATACCTGGTGCACAGACATACACCCACAGGCACACATGTACATGTAAATAAATAAGCAAAAAGCCAGAATTAAACAATAGAGTAAGTCTCAGAGCCTAGATGTCTATACAGCATGCAGCGCTGTTCTTTTTGATCAGGACTTTATGTTAGTGGTCTGATAGGAGGATTATGAGAAAGTTAGTGTCCTGTTAGTCTTTGTTATAGTTTTACATTTTGCATCATTGGTTTTTGTGCTTTAGGGATTTTTTTCTTTACTGTTCCAATCGTGATGTGTTTTAAGGTTTTAAAACCTTATATAGTCTTAGGCTAAACAAATGAGAAGCAATGCTGCATGCTGTTACAGGAAATATGAATCCAAAAACAAGGAAAGTCGTGAAAAACAGTGTGACTTAGAACTCGGTTTACCTGACCCTGCACAGTGGCTGCAGGCTTTGATGAAGCATTTGACATAGCTCCAAAGACCTACAGAAAGCTCAACTCGTAGCTCAATGGTAAAGCGCTTGACCAGCATGCTTGAAGTCCTAGGTTCAATCCCCAGGATTAGAACAGAAAAAAAAAATCCTTCAGCCATTGGGTTGGGGGTGCATCACCCTGGAGTGAAGTGATTATGTTTAGGGAAGATGAGTTATATGCAACAAAGCAAATCACATCAGTTTTTCCCCAGAGCCTTTCCATTCATTGCCTTCATTTTGTCTTTCTCATACTAATAGGTAGAACAAGAATATCAGTGATGATGATAGGAACAGTTATGGATTATCAATAAAACAGTGTGACTTGAGGTCCAGAAAACACTCACAGAAATGTTATTTTTAGGTTTTTAAAGGCTTACTTTATGTGCATGGATGTTTTGTCTACATATATGTATATATACACATACCACATGTATGCCTGGTTCTCTCAGAAGGCATCAGTATCCTGGAACTATTGATGGTTGTGAGCTCCCATGTGGGTGCTGGGACCTGAACCCAGGTCTTCTGCAAGAGCCGTCTCTCTAGCCCCAGAAATATAACTTTTAAAAATATTTTAATTGTGTCTGTGTATGAGTGTATGCACATGTCACAGGTATCCGTGAAGGCCAGAAGAGGACATTGTATCCCCTGGAGCTGGAGTTGCAGGTAGTTATGAGCCACCTCTGAGGTGGGAGCTAGGAACCAAACTCTGGTCCCTCTGAGAAAACAGTACATGCTCTTAACTGCATCTCTCCAGCCCCCAAAATCTAATCTTTATAACCTATTTTACACTAATGTTCCACCAACTTTATAATGCTGATTTTTGTTTGTCATTACCACTTTTTGTTAAGTAGAATTCTACCTGCCAATGATTGATAAGACATGATAGAAGATGGAGGGATCATGGTAGACTTTAGAACCCTGATCATGGCAGTCCTGAATAGTCTTTCGAAAATTTTAGTCTGAACTAGAAATTCAAATAAAGTACACATTTGCTTCTGGCATTTTATAGCCATTTTGCTGATTTCAAACAAATCTGGTTAAGATATTAAAATGTTCTCCAAGTTGGGAAACAGAATTTTTTTTTAATTTTAGAGGAGAAAGAATTCACCTTTTCCCTATCACCTGAGATAGCTTGGCATTCAGCCTTGGTGGTTTAGTTTTGTCCCAAGGCTGGTACAGCAGAGCAGGTGGCCATGGTCCTTGGAGGTTTCCCACTCATTTCATGTTTCTATGAAGAAACCATTCTCCAGAAGTCGGCCAGGGCTAGGGCAGCACTGGAGATGACGCTAAGCCCCGATCAGCACAGACAGAGGTTGCAACAATTCCAGTAATCACGAATAGAACCTCTGTGATGGGAATGCAACCCAAGGTCTCCTGATGGCCAGGCAAGGCCAGCACTGAGCCATAGCCCCCTCTATATTGTTTATTTGTTGCCTTAATGAAACCAAATTAACTTTAGCTGCTAGGTTACCATGTGTGATGTCCGTGTATATGTCTCTTTTCAGTTTTAACTGCATTTGGAATGTCAGGAAATTCTGAAGTGATTGACAATGCTGACTCCAAAACAAAAACAACAGAAAAACCTCATTGTGTGTTTTTAGTAAGACAGCTAACATCTGTCAAGTAATGGCTGATACCATATGCATTTCATTGTCACACAAATTTCTATAAGGCTCATACATAGGCCTAGTGGCACTTTTCTTTTAAATCTGTTTTCACACCAGAGGCATAGTAGCCCATGTCTTTAATCCCAAAACTTGACAGACAGAGGCTGATGGATCTCCATGAGTTCCAGGCTGGCCTAGTTACACAGGGAGTGAGTTCCAGACCAGTTCCAGGCAGGCAAAGCTCCAACAGGGAGAAAAGAAAAATCAACCTACTTTCTCCCTACATGTGTGCAGCACTGGGGATCAAACCCATGGCCTTGATAATGCTAAGCCCACACTTTATACTGGGCTACAGCCCTAGCCTCCAGTCTTGATAATTATTATTGTTTCAGGGTTCCCCTCCAATATGACAAAGACTAAAATAAAAATAGAGCATAGGAAGCAGTCCTTGGCTTAACTTAGAATGTTATTCATTCATTTCCTGTTTTTCTACATTCAACTTTGGGTAACTTTCTTTTTATATAGCTTCAAAAAGAAATGATTAAAAATGGGCTTAGGCATGGTAGCTCATGTCTATAATCTCAGCACTCAAGAACCTGAGACAGGAGAATTGCCGTGAGTTTGAAGTCAGCTTGTGTTACATAGAGAGTTGCAGGCCTGCCTGGGCTAGAGTGAGATACTATCGCCGAAAAAAACAACACATCTTAGCTGGGTATTGTGGTGCAGGGTTTAATCCCAGCACTCAGGAGACAGAGGCAGGTGGATCTCTGTGAATTCCAGACCAGCTTGGTTACAGAGTGAGTTTTAGGACATCCAGGGCTACACAAAGAAACACTGCCTCAAAAACCAAAAAGAGATGGCTCAGGGGCTAAGAGCACTGATTGTTCTTCCAGAGGACCTAGGTTCAATTCCCAGCACCCACACAGTAGCTCACAACCGTCTGTAATTCCAGTTTCAGGGGACCCGACATCCATGGTAAAAACAACAATGCACATTTAAAAAAAAAAAAAAAAGGACAAAAAACAACACATCTTTACATACAGATACCAGACTGCCTTTTAACTTTAACACTCTCTCCAAACTATTAAAAAGTAAAATATAGTACATATACTCCCAAATCAGCATCTGAGAACAAAAATCAATTTCTTACACAGTAGCAAAACCCATCCATTTAACAATGATATAAGAGTATTGCCTATTTTAGTCTCTATTCAAATTTTGTTAATTATCCTAACAGTGACCACAACAATGATTTTTTTCCCTTCAAAATTATTTATTTATGTGGCACTAAGGATTGAACCCAGGACCTCATACATACTAGCTCTACCACTGCACCGTTTCCCAGCCCTCTTTTTGCCTGTGTTTTGAGACAGAGAGACATGGTCTTGTTAAGTTGTCCCTCCTGACGGTAAATACCCGCTTTAGCCTAGGCAGACCTTGAACTTTGGAATCCCTTGCCTCTCCCTGAAGAAACTCTCCTGGGGACTCCCCTCAGACCAGAAAGCTTTGACACAGCAATTTAAAGAATCAGCTAGAAACTGTTAGACCACCAAGGGGCAGCTCAGAATCTCCTAGTATTTTCAACGCTTCCCATTCTGTGCGGTGAGATTCAGCCCTCTTTTCCCCATGGCTTTGATGCCATCAATCGTGGCTTAGGAGCACTTGTGTGAAATGCACCATGGTACTGTCACATGATACTGGGGACCCAGAGAAGCAGGAAACCAAATTGAGAACTAAGAACTAAAGGCTCCAGAGGAGGTAGTACTGGGACTCAGAGAGATCCAGATGTAAAGAGTGGCTGAGAAAAAATGAGTCTACAGGGAGAGACTGGGAGTGGAGGAAGGGTGCGTCGGGGTGCACGGCACAAGGTGGGTTCTGGTGCTCAGGAAGCCTTTGTTGTCAGTAGTGAGCGGAGTTGAAGCCAAGAGAGAATGGCAGCTGCTTGGGAGACTAAGCCCTGGAAGGGGCGGAGTGGAGGAAATTAGGTAGGTGAACCCACTCTGCAGGGAGCGGGTAGGAAGAGCGGAGCCGCAGGCGGATGAAGGCAAGGTGGGGCAGGTGGTGGCAATCCAGCGCGAGCAGGCTCGTGTGCCGAGGAGCAGGTGGAGAAGTGGAGAGCATAGCAGGTAGTGGGGTGAGGCCCTGCTGGGGAGCATGACTGGTTGGCCCTCCAGGAGAACTACTCTGGTATCCCCCAGTACCTGGCAGTAGGTGCCCAGAGTATTGACAGAAACAAGTATAGATGCTATTTTTTAAGGTTGTCTTGAGTGGTGTAGAATAATGGGAAACTCCACTATTTTTATCCCATAGTTAATATTAATAACCAGTAGGAAATGTAGGGGACTCACAAGTGGCAGTAATAATAATCATGATCACTCAGTGTCTCTGTCACTCATGGGTCTTCTTCACTTCCATGTCACCATCTTGAAATAAGTCATGTCCAACGGGATGATGCACGGGTGTGGTGTGGTTCCCTGAGGAGCCAGGCACAGGCACGTTCTGCCCCGGTATTTTACATAGGGGCAGCGTCAGCTCTGCGCCTCTGACTTTAAAGTTGAGAAGTGTGTCCTCTGGATTGTCTTCCAGCTTTAGTTGTGTGCTCTACACACTTGCGTGCATGTTCATTAGCACCTTTGAGTGCGAGCTGGGGGACCTATGCAACTTAATTATTTGAGAGTCTGCTCAGAAACAATCCACACTGGATAAGAAAGGCAGAGCCTCACAGGCAGCGTTTCAGGGTGCAGATGGCGAACAGACCGTGTGGGTGTGAATCTGCTGGGCCACTTCCAGTGTTTTCCACCTAAAACCCAAAACAAATATGTGAAGGCCACTCTGGCTCCTACTTCCCGCTCTCTGCTTGTAAACTAAAGTACATATTGATGTGATCATGTCACATTACCCTTCTCATCCCGTTTTCACTAGGAAGCTCTGGCTTTTTTGCTTCTTCGTATTTCATTGCCCCATAAAATCTGCCAAGCAAACCAGATTTATAGATAGAAAATTCATTTGTGAGACCTGGGGCTGACTTAAATGCTGATTGATCTTTCCTGGATAAAGTCATTTTGCTTGATTAATTGCTGTCTTGAGAAATAGATTGACTGCAATATGATAAGGCCTTCAATTTTTTCTCTGTCATTTCCTTTTTTTTTTTTAAAGCAGTAAGTGTCTGGCAGATATCCTAGAACTTTACCCACAGAGATGCTGCGAGACACCATGAAATCTTGGAATGATAGCCAGTCAGATCTCTGTAGCAGCGACCAGGAAGAGGAAGAGGAGATGGTCTTCGGCGAAAATGAAGACGAATTAGAAGAGATGATGGACCTAAGTGACCTGCCCACCTCACTCTTCGCTTGCAGTGTCCACGAAGCGGTGTTTGAGGTTCAAGAGCAGAAGGTAGGCCCACACTCTCACTGTGGGAAGCACAGATAGCTTTGGGTAAAGAGGTCCAAGGGACTGAGACATGAAAAACACCAAGTGTGTGCCCCACGGGACCCTCCCTCATGTCTCAGGAGAGGCTCCGCCTCCACTGGCAGGTGGGCGTCAGAGCCAGTCCTCCGTCTCTGCTAGGGCAGCGTTAGCTTCTAGTGAACTCTCATGCATCCACTTACTAAGTTTTAGAGACTGTAATGGACGAAAAGCTTGTTTTAATGTTTTAGTCAAAGATAGTACATATACATAACATGATTCATTAGCAATTTTATTTGTGTACATAATGTTTCTGCCATATACACCCTGTCATCCTCTTGGCACCTTTCCCACCTTCACTGATTCCTCCTTTACCCAGCATGCTGCTGTTGTTTGAGACAAGGCCTGGGATTGGCTGTGTGGCTCAGGCTGACCTGGATTGGCTATGTGGCTCAGACTGACCTGTGATTGGCTGTGTGGCTTAGGCTGACCTGGGATTGGCTGTGTGATTTAGACTGGCCTGGATTGGCTATGTGGCTCCAGCTGGCCTAGAACTTCCAGAGATGCTCCCAGCTCTATCTCCTGACTATTGAGATATGTCACAGGGATTTCTCACCACGCCCAACCTCCAAGCACATGATGTTTTTGCCTGGATTCCTCCTCTTTGTGCATTCACTAAAGAAGGAATTCGGCTTTTTCTTGGGGCTTATTACATGTAGACTATTAGGACTAATTATTAGCTGTTATCATTTCTGGTATTATTTCTCTGGTTTGTAAGGAAAAACAGATTATCTTTTTTAAGTTATTGGTTTACTTAGAAACAGTGTGTGTGTGTGTGTGTGTGTGTGTGTGTGTGATCATTGTGATCTTGTAAAAACCTACATACCTTTTCATCTTTTGTTAAAGCATAGTTTCACTGTGTAATCTAGGCCGGCATCTGGACAGTCCTCTTCAGCCTCCCAAGCACTGGGAATACAGGTAGAAGCCACCATTCCTGACCTGGCCCTTAAATGTTAATATGTCCACAAAGAATTCTCCTTTCATTGAGTCCCATTCTCATTCTGTGGCCCAGACTGGACTTCCTTCAGTGTCTTTCAGGGGCAGAGCTGGATACATTATTGAACACCCGCAGCCTAAGGCTACATGCCGGTTAGGTTCTGGGATAGAGTGTGAATTATGCAGCTTCTGTGTCGAAGTGTACAGTCCTGTGGTGGGGCCGAGGGGTCAGTGACAAAATGGAGAGTTGGTCTCTCTAGGAACATAGCAAGATCATCGAGGTTTCAGCAGACAAATTCACAGTCAGGTTCAGTAGGTCTCTCGGAAGGGCATGTGGCATTGGGGAGGAGCTGTGAGAGTTAGAGTTTTAGCAGAGTGGTAAATTGGCTTTATTTACATGTATACATGCTGTTTCTGAGAAACTTCTAAAGCATAAGGATGCAGAGAAGTTATAAGGAAAAATTAGGAAGCTGCTAGGCTTGGTGGCACCCTGTAATCAGTTCCCCCAGAGCTGGAGGTAGAAGGAACAGGAATTCAAGGCTGTCTTCAACTACTAGCAAGTTAGAGGCCAACCTGGACTGCATGAGAGCCTAATGTCATAAAAAAAAATAAAGAAAAGGTAGGAGTGATTTCTCTGTGTTTTATTGTGTGTACATGCTAGGGGAGGTGTTCAGATTCTAAGAGAATGAAGTTGTAGGAGACCTCGCCCAGTGTGTCAGACTTAAGCAGTAAGCAAATGCCTAGCACTGTGAAGAAAGCAGGGGAAGGGTCACCCCAAATGCCGGAGATGTTCCTTTGATGGAGGAACAGCACAGCTGCACGCATTGGTGACTCTGCGACAGCAGGACTCCTGTTCTGTCTGGGGATGTGTGTGGGCTGTTTTATACATTGTATTATTGTATTATTGTATAACCCCTGAGTGCAGAATTTAACAAAGCCAGCTGTTTTCAGTCAGTGCAGACTGCAGATGTGAGCACAAGTCACACACTGTCCACCCTGAACACCTTTGCGAAAGGCGGCTCTTTGTGGAGGAGAAGAACTGCACTACATAGAGAGTTTCACCTGGCCACTTCTCTTTAGCAGGCTTCCTGCTAATACAGTATCTTATTCTTTGTTCCCACTTCTCTCTGCCTTGCTGTTCTCCTTACAGGAGAGGTTTGAAGCTCTGTTCACCCTCTATGATGACCAGGTCACCTTCCAGTTGTTCAAGAGCTTTCGCAGAGTGAGGATCAACTTCAGCAAGCCCGAGGCTGCAGCGAGAGCTCGGATAGAGCTCCACGAGAGTGACTTCCACGGCCAGAAACTGAAGCTTTACTTCGCACAGGTACAGTGTGCTCCGCGGCCGCGTGTCCCCACAGGTACCTCACACAGGTACAGGGTGCTCCGCGGCCTCGTGTCCTCACAGCAGCTTCTCCATCACAGCTCTCCCTCCAGTGTTGGGTCAGAGATTTGTTAAATCAACATTTCCAGGAGCAGATGTCATATTTTCTCTTACTTTACACATACATAATTTCATTTGTCTTAGCAGCATATTAAGCCTCTGTCTTTGTTTTGCTGAGACTGATAATGAAGGGACTCATTTTTCTGGCAGATTTGCTCAACTGGGGCTCTGCGAAGGTTAAGCCCTGACGATTCAAGGGTAGTGGAGTAAATGTTCTCTGCATCTAAAATGGCACTTAGGATGTGACATTCGTGGGAAAACAAAGGAAAAAATCTTCATGGACTAGTAAGATGGCTCAGTGGGCAGAGGTCCTCACCCCAAGCTTTACGACCTGAGTTTGATCCCTGCAGCCCATACATACATGCATGGTGGAAGGAAAGAGCCAATCTGTGTCCTCTGACCACCACACAAGCAATTTTACCTCTTCTAAGACTGGAACTTAGTAGTGTGTTAGTCAGCTACTCCCACTGAATCAGTTAGGGTTACTGTTACTCTGATGAAACACCATGGCCAAAAGCAGCTTGGAAACAAAAGGTTTATTTGGTTTACTTATCTTGAATCACCTTCCATTGAGGTAAGCCAAGACAAGAACTCAACCAGGGCAGGAACCTGGAAGCAGGAGCTGATACAGAGGCATGGAGGGGTGCTGCTTACTGACTTGCTCTTCATGGCTCGTTCAGCCTGCTTTCTTATAGAACCCACGACCACCAGTCCAGGGTGGGACCACACACGATGGGCTGGGTCCTCCCACATCAATCACTAATTAAGAAAATGCTCTACAGGCTTACCTGCAGCCTGATTTTTTTTTTTTTTTTTTTTTTTTTTTTAGTTTTCGAGACAGGGTTTCTCTGTGGCTTTGGAGGCTGTCCTGGAACTAGTTCTTGTAGACCAGGGTAGTATTGAGCTCACAGAGATCCGCCTACCTCTGCCTCCCAGGTGCTGGAATTAAAGGCGTATACTACCACCGACTGGCTTGCAGTCTGATCTTATGGAGGCATTTTCTCAGTTGAGATTCCCTTGTCTTAGTGATGAAAGCTTGTGTCAAGTGACATAAAACTAGCCAGCACACCCACTGTAACAAGATAATCAGCTGTAAAGGAGAGAAGTCTTGGCTCATGGTTTAGAGGTTTCAGTCCATATAGGATCTTCCCTTCCTTTGGGCCTGCAGAGGGGACAGCACATGAAGGCAGAGCAAAGCTGTTCACCTCATTCATGGGAAACAGGAAGAGTAAGAGGTGGGGGTCCCACTGTGCCTTAGGGTGTACTCCCAGTGACTAAAGACCTCACTGTGTCCTAAAGGCTCCCAGTTTCACCCTTTCACTTCAGGGGAGCAAGACTCTACCACACAGACCCTAAGGGGCACTTAGAGCTCAGATCCCAGCCATAGTTACTGCGGTGCACTCCTTTGTCCGTCTGGTTATTCATTTATTCTTTCATTCAACTCATGTTTAGCAAGGATCCTGTGTATGTGCCCTGTGCTGTGAGCCAGGTGGACCCAGGTCACCCCCTGGGAGATCACACACATCTCAGAGACATTTTTAATCACCCCTCTAAGAAGGTAGCAGTTACCATAAAGATTAAATGAAGAAAACGAAGATGCACTTGCAAAGTGCTCATGGTCCTGTCCTCCCCTGCAGGTGCAGGTGTCTGGGGAGGCTCGGGACAAGTCCTACTTACTGCCACCACAGCCCACCAAGCAGTTCCTCATCTCCCCTCCAGCCTCGCCACCAGTGGGGTGGAAGCAGAGTGAAGACGCGATGCCTGTGATCAACTATGACTTACTCTGTGCTGTCTCCAAGCTGGGGCCAGGTAGCCGGTTCTGCTTTTGCTCTTACTGTCCCTAGGATTTTTGTGTATTGGAGACGGTGTTCAGTAGTGGGTGTGGAGCCCAGCAACAGCGGCACTGTCCAGTGGACACTACAGTCATAATTGTCTGGGTCCACACTCTTAACATGACTTAACATAACATTTTCCAGTGCTGTGGTCCTCAGCCAGTTGCCGAGCATGGATGTTGGGGTTAGATAGCATGTGCAGCATGATAATTTTCACAGCTAGGAGTTAATACAGGTGGTTAGCAAACACTTGCTGTTCTCTCTCTACAGCCCTATGCAAATGGTGGCTGCTTTGCGTTATTTAGAGATAGTAACCTGCCACCCTTTCCAAAGTTTCTTTTTTTCTTTTTCATTTCTTGCTTTCCTTCTCTACTTACTGTCTCTCTCATCATGATAGTAATATAAGGAGCTGATTCCCTGTGGTTGAGGACAGTGTGTCTCTTCAGAAACATCTGAGAAAGAACTTTATGCTTGTGGATATTTGAACTCTTTCAGACATCAGGTCCTACGCTAGAAACAGCTTCCTGGAGCCTAGCCAGTGCCACCCATGGGACTCAAAACCTTTATGAATGTAGCTAACCCACCTTAGTTATTTGTAGAAAAGCAATTAGCATTTATATTAACATTTTAATTAGGTTTATATAATCTAATCAGTGGCTTCCCATCTTAGTGAGCACAAAGCCAAAGTAAGCATAGGACATAAAAGTGGAGAAAGCTTCATCATCTTTAGGAAGAGACAGGAACTATTCCAAAGCAAGGCCTTCCCTGAATGAAGGAGACTTGTGTGTATTCATTCAGTAGCAGGGCCATTTCTGAGCATGCTCAGTTTAAAGTCATGGACATTAACATGATGGACAGGATGTGGTTGTGAATAGGGTAGTTTCAAGGTGCGCTAATAGAGTCTGCCCTGAAGGTACCTGTGTGCTCAGCAGCCATGCTTGCATCCTAACTCCCAGGCCAAGGGCAGAAAGGACAGTATCTTTAACAAATTGAACTTCTGCAGGGCATGGTAGCACTTATCTTTAACAGCCCTTGAGAGGCAGGGACAGGCAGCTCACTGGGAGTTCCAGGCCAGCCTGTCTGCATAGTAAAACCCCATCGAGAGGAAAAGGAGGGAATTTTTTAAATACCAAACAAGCTAAGCCTCTGATGCAGGATAGATAGATTTTACAGAGTTTAAGCAACAAGGTCACCATAGCAACACATGCCTACGATCCTAGCACTTAGGAGACTGGAGAAGAAAAATCAAAGAGTTCAAGACCAGCCTCAGTTACAGCAACAAGTTTCTGATTGGCCCAGATTTCATGAGACGCAGTCTCAAAAAAAAAAAGTCAGCAGCTGTTAAATGAATTAGTGGAAGAGGAAGTTGGGAGATAAAATAAATTAATTCCACTGGCAGTAAGGCTCCTTCATGCTTGCCTCGGCAGGGGAGAAATATGAACTGCATGCCGGAACCGAGTCTACCCCCAGCGTGGTTGTGCACGTCTGTGAAAGTGAAACTGAAGAGGAAGAAGACACAAAAAACCCCAAACAAAAAATCACGCAGACTCGGCGCCCGGAAGCTCCCACGGCCGCCCTGAGTGAGCAGCTGGACTGTGCACTGTGAACCCAGCCACTGTCCCTGTGCCTCCTGTTGCTACTGCTGCATCTGCACTAGAGCACAGCCAGGAGAGGCCGCTGCATCATCTGGCATCCGGGCCAGCCGTGCCAGACCGGAACATGGGGTGAAGTAGCAGATGTGGCCAGCTGTTTGAAATTTTGAACTATGTTCTAAATGGCACTTTAAGTGACAAGGTTAGTCCCCACTGTGTGGCATCTGACTCCTCCCCCAGAAACATTAGTTCCCCTGAATGTATAGCTCGTTGGGTACCAAAGGCCAGAACTAGAATCACCCAGTAAACTACCATTTTTCAGATTTAAAAATTAGTCTTAACAATTACAGTAATTTGGTGTGGGTGTTTTTTTTTTTTACTGGTGTGGTAGTGGCTAACAAATACATTAAGCAAAAGCTGAATGTTACTCAGTATACATTACATGACTATTTTTTGGCACAAAAAGAAACCTTAGGTACAAAATCATTTATAGAAGCCGTTTTTCTCCAGTATTTTTTCACTAGCCTTGGGGATGAAATGCCAAATGAATGAGATTATCAGATCCAAACAGCATACGCAGACGTGTGCTTGGCTCTCCTCGATATCCCTCTTACGGTTGGTGGAGGTGGCGCCCCAAACCCTGCACAGTGCAGCCCTTCCGGGCCTGGGCTCTGCAGGCAGGACGTGTCACCCAGAAGCCTGGCTGGTGCTGATACACAGTTGCAGCCTGTGGAGCTCCACCCCAGCACTGGCTTGTTGCTGCTTGACTGTGCTGTGTGTAGATTTGTGGATGTTAGTCACAATCTTAAATTTTAGAAAATAATGGTAAGACTTTCTCAAGACCACTTTAAATTCAGAGGAATTGTTTCTTTCTTTTCTTTTCTTTTTTTTTCTTTTTTTTTTTTTTTTTTTTTTTTTTTTTGACGACAAGGGTTTCACTTTGTAGCTAGCTGGCTTAACCTCTTCTGTGATCCTCCTGCCTCAGACTCCCAAGTGCTGGGATTTCAGGGGATGAGCCACTATGCTCTTCAAATTTTTCCATTCAAGTATTACAGCTGTTTAGAAAGAAAACAAACAAACAAAAAACAGTGCTTTTTTGTTGTTTTTTGGAACACTGTAGTCCAAGCTGACCTTGAGTTCAAGACCATTCTCCTTCCTCAGCCTCTTGAGTCCTGGGATTGACAGTGTAAGCCCCTGCGTGCTGTTCATGCTTCCCTTTTTGATGAAATTTTCCACCTGGGCTTGCAGCTGGCACTCAGCTAGAACTGTCTCTTGCACTTGAAGGTGTGTTTGAACCTCCATGTGTCAGTGCAGCCTCACTAGTGTGCGGGGCTACAGTCCCTCTCGCAGAAGGCTCTCCTGCCGAAGACAGCTGTGCTCCAGGCAGGTCAGCTGGCTCCCCTCAGTGTGCTCTTGAATTGTGTGACAAGTATCCAGAGCTGCCTGGTACATATGAAGGGACTAGACCTACAACTAAGAAACGAACATGGCAGCTACTGTAAAGAAAGAAAAATGGAGAAACTGAAGCCGTGATGACTATGTTCTTTGGGTGACATGTTAGGACTGAGTGTCTTTGGTGGTAGAATGATTTCTGAAGATTTAAACTGTATTGCAGATGCACATACAAATGTCTTCTAACTTGTTGAAATAGGATCTCGTATAGCCCTGGTTGACATCAAACTTGCTACATCTCAAGGATGACCTTGAACTCCTGCTCCTGCCTCTATCTCCTAAGTGCTAGGGTTGCAGGTGTGCACCACCACACCTAACAACAGAGTTGCCCTTGCCCTCAGATGCTGAACTCTGTGTGTGTTTGCCATTGGGAATCCTCTGTGGATTCTGTTGAAGATTACGATTCCAACTGCACTGGTTTGCTGGATCCAAATCCTCATCTGTCAGGTTAACTGACAGGCTCTCCTTTGCACCAGCTTGACTTTGCAGTTTTGATCTCAGCAGTTTGCTTCTTTTGTTGCAGGACAGACCCTATCTGCCAGCAAACAAGTAGATTTTCAACAGTTGGAAAGTTTTTGTGTTCCCCGTTATGTAATACAATTTCTCTCTAGTTTTCCTAAGTAATCAAAACCCAGTTTTCAAGTTTGTCTTGGCTTTCATTTTCTAGCTGCCAACTTAAGAACATCTCTTTTATCTTTTCTCTCAAGTCAGGGTTTCTCTGTTTTAGCGCTGGCTATCCTGGAGCTTGCTCTGTAGACGAGGCTGGCCTTGAACTCACAGAGATCCACCTGCCTTTGCCTCCTGAGCATCGGGAGTAAAGGTGTGCACCACCACCACCTGATCTCACTCTTTTTTAAGTCAAGAAGTACAAACTACTCATCTCTTTAAATTTTTTGAGAGTATTAAATTGTGTGTGTGTATGAGGGGGTGTGCAAGGATAAGGGAAGTCATTAAACTTTCTTGAATCGCAAATAATTAATATTTTCCTCTTTTCTGGTATATTATTTCCATAATACAAACTAGAAGAAAAAATACCATCTACTTTTTAATGAAGTCAATCAGCATATCCAGGTGTCTGTTTTTTATGCCCAGTTCATGTAGGCATTTTATAGCAAATGAGTCCGATTCTTTTGTTTGTTTGTAAAAAGGTCTCAGGTAGCACAGGTAGCTGGTCTCAGATTCACTGTGTGGCCAAGGATAATCTTGAATTCCTGATCCTGCTGCACCCACCCAGGACTACAGATGTTACAGATGTGTGCCACAGCACACAGTTTATCCTTTATCTTCTTTCCAGTTCGCATAGTAAATTTATGTGCATTTTTTCTTTCAAACAGACTGTTTTGTTTTATTTGGTTTTGGTTTTGAAGACACCATTTCTCTGTGTAACAGCCCTGGCTGTTCTGGAACTCACTCTATAGACCAGGCTGGCTCACAGAGATCTGCCTGCCTCTACTTGGATTAAAGGCGTGCACCACCATGCCCAGCTGAATTATTTCTTAGAATTAACTCCACTAGGAGAGTCTGGCATCCCTCTTTAAGATCTCCCTGCTGCTTTTTTGGGAGCTCTTTCTCACTTTTCCTTAAGAAATCTGCAATTTTTTTCTACAGAAAGAAATAAACTAAAAGTAACTATGGTTTCTTCAGAAATCAAAACCTCTCCATTGTAAGCAAGCTGTGAGGAAAGAGAACAGGACTTTGTGTTAGGAAAAACCCTGTAAAGGGTAATGAAGCCATGATACTTAGTAGGGCTGACCAACAGGAGTGCAATAGTTTGGCTCTTAGATTCTAGATTTTTCTGATCACTCATCTGCAGAACCAAAGATCGATCCATGTAAAGAGGTAGAGAGGCCGAAGGAGCTAAGAACAGCCCCTCAGCTTGGCGAGCTGAAAGTCAGGTAGCCTTACTGCATCTCTCAAACATTGGGAAGGGGCCAGGTGTGCTAGAATGCACTTGTAATCCCAGCACTCGGGAGGTGGCAGCAGAGGGTCAGGGTTCAAGGTTGTCTTTGGCCAAACAGTAAATTTAAGGCCAGCTACATGATTAAGGCTACATGATGTTATCCCACAAATGGGGAGAGAATTACACAGAGAAGACTTAAGTTCCACATAAAGGTTTACATAGATCATTGTGGCCACTAAATGGGCAGTTTGAGTTGAGGGGACACCAGGGAACAGGTCAGGAGCAGTTTGTCCCATAAGAGGACAACTCTTTGCCATCTTCATGAATTCTGTCTCTCAAAATGTTTGAAAAGTGAGAATAGAGACTGGTGAGGTTAAAAGGTTTATTTTATTTATGTATTGGTACATATGTACACACATATGAGTGCCCACAAAAGCCAAAACAGGGCCTTGGGTCTCCGGGAGCTGGAGACAGTAGTGAGGCACCTGAAGAGAGTACTAGGGACTGAACTCTGGCCCTCAAGAGCCTGAAGCACTCTCACCTGCTGAGTCAGCTTGCCAGCCCCCACCCTGCCTTTCTACAATGTCATGATTGTGGCTGGCCGTGGTGGGAACACCTTTAATCTTAGCACCGCAGGTGGATCTCTGAATTCAGGGCCAGCCTGGGCTACACAGCGAGACCTTGTCTAAAAAAGCAAATCAGACCAAACAAACAAACGAAAGTTACGATTATCAAGTGAAATGACTCGACTGTCTTACAGTCAATGTCGCCGACCTAGCACCAGACTTACATGGGAGTGTTCAGCGCAGTGGGGACTGTGGTTGGCCTTCCCTATCCTTCCATGTCTTTTCATTGCATTGAGCACTTAAAATACGGAGGATACTTCTCCCTGTCACACAGAAGAGTGGGAGGCTCAGCAGCGGCTTGGGAGCTTTTAATCAGCTTGACCGTGGCTTGTATTTTTATCGCCATTGAGCTGTGGGGTTAGAATCTGCTCACACAGTGTCGCCTTGGTCACTAGTGGTTGTGTTAGCACTTTGTGTGGGCTTCCCTGGACAGTCACACTCATGCAGTGAAAATGTAAACAGTCGTAAGACAGGACCCGGGAAGAGAATGAGGTCATGTGCATAGAGTGAAAAGTTTGCTGTGGGAGTCCCTCTCCCTCTGTGCTTAGAAAATCACATTCTATTCAAGACTAAAGATGGACGTTGGCTTTATATTTTTATGTGGACTAATTTACAGACTCAAGGATTTATTTTTTAAAAGGAAGGCTTTATGTATAGTTATCAATGGAAGTGTATGTGATTCTTTGATGCCTGGGGTTCATGCCTGCCAGCTTGCCCTCTCCTCTGTAGAGCCCTGGCCCTCACCTGTCACAGGTGAGCTTGGCCACCTTCCCCCTCTGCCTGTGTTCCTTAGTACATCTGTATTAAAGAAAACAAACTGCCTGGGGGTGCTGGCGCAGGCCTGGGATCTCAGCCTTCAGAAGGTTGAGACAAAAGGATTGAGAGACTGACACTAGCCTGGGATACAAGCAAAACCCTGCCTCAAAGGGGGGGAAAGGATACTTTCCTTTTCTTGGTGTGACAGTATAGAGGAACAGCTGTCCTTGGAAAATAGTTGCTTCTAACCAAGAAGTCCATGGGAAGAGTAAGTTCTATGGACCCTAACCACATGAAAGTGACTGTTAGTGTTTACACTCCCCTTGGAGTATGGGTCTCCAGGGCCATCCTCTTCCTCGGTGTGCCACTGTGTCCTTCACTCTTGGACAGAGCAAATGTGATCGTTGAGAGTCCGGGTTACCAAATGTAGTCATGCACAGTGATGTATGCCTGTCATCCCAGCACTTGGAAGGCAAAGGTAGGAGGATTATTGCCAGTTTAAGGCTAGCCTGCGCTATCTATCAGACTCTATCTCAACAACAGAAGGGTCACTGGGTGTACACACAGCCCAGGAGCAGATAAGAGCAACAGTTGGGTCTCTGGCCAGGGCTGAGAACTTGTCCTGTTCCCTGGAAGGTTTCTGGTCAAGGCTGAGAAGTGACCTCAGGGAAGTAAATATGCAGAGTCCTGCTGACTTGGATTTGTGCTTTCTCTTGGAAGCCTGCAACTCTTGAAGAGGGTCCTGTGACCCTTGGAGCTCCCACATGGCCTTGACTGAGTGTGCACTCTTGTCATAGGGAGGATTTATTTCCTATCTATGCAGATAATTCATGTTTTTCTGTGTTGTTCCCTGTTGGTCTCCAATCTTCCTAAGTCAGATTGAGGACTAAGGAGAGTCACAGGACTAAGGTGTCAGTCCTGTGACTGCCATACCCTCTGCTTTCGGCCCCTGAGTGTTTATCGCTGTCACTTGTATGCCATTTGCATCTTTGCAGTGTGAGAAAGCCTCACAGCCATTGTTCTTTGTTCTTCATAACTAACCCTGCAGCTGGGTTTATTCCTGAGTCTGGGCTTGTCAATAATCTCCCTGGTCCCGTGCGCTGTAGTGAATACTCGATGCACTTGTGAAAATGGTTAGTGATTTTCGTCCGTGTGTCCCATGTTTGACACACTAGTGCTTGACATGATGGGCCATAGTTCATTTCAAGCTTCAACTGTCCTGTATTCTGAGGATCTCTAAACATTCCTTGTCCTGTGAGGTGACAAAGCAAAATGTAATTTGGAGGACACTTTGCAATTACCTGTAACAAGTTGTTTTGATGTTGAAACCAATAAAGAGTTGTTGTTTTTTTAATCAGTCCATTGAACAGAGTTCTCTGTGTTCAGTCTACAGCATGTGTGTTAGGACTGGTCAGGCACTAACATAAAAGGCAGGAAACTCAAAACCACATTTGACCTGTGAAGAAGAGTCCTGGTGCACAGTAGTGCTGCCTGTGCCACACACAGTCCAAGGTGTCACCAGCAGCAGATAACCGCTACAGGTTCACTCTACCAAGGAAAGCTCTACCTAGCAGACTCCTTAGCAAAAAATGATTTATTGCTGGGAAAAACAGTAACTCCACATTCCAGTATTGAAACCAGAAATGACTGTTGAGTTATTATTATGCTGTTGTTTTCTTTTGTTTTTGATACAAAGTCTCAGCCCAGACTACCCTCATACTCCTTATATAGCATGGACTGGCCTTGAATTCCTTCCTAATCCCCCTGCCTCTACCTCAAAGGCAGTGGGTGGATTACAGGAGTATCCTAATATGCACTGCTGCTAATACTTTGTTGTTTATTTATTTTTGTGGATATTTTGTCTGCATAAATGTCTGTATACCACATGTATGCCTGGTGCCTTCAGAGGCCATAAGAGGGTATTAGATCTCCTGGGATTGGAGTTACAGACCATGGTGAGTGGGTGTTGGGAATTGAACTGGCGTCCTAAGGAAGATCATCTAGAGCTTTTAGCCACTGAGCCATCTTTCCAGCCCTTAATATTATTTTAAGCTATACAAATCTGCTCTTCTTAAGTTATTTAACTGTGCTTATTTATTTTTTGCATTTAGCACTAAGTCTCATGTTGCAAGTAGCTGAGGCTGGTCTCAAACTCACTATGAAGCTGAAGATGACTTTGAACTACTGACTCCACCTGCCAGGTGCTGGGATTAAAGATGTGTACCACCATGCCCAGCTTTCTGCTCTGTTCATATAAAATCTTACATGATACAAAATTTATTTTAGCAATTAAGGACTAGGGAAATGGTTCAGAGGTTAAGAGCACTGGCTGATCTTCCAGAGGTCCTGAGTTCAATTCCCAGCACCCACATGGCAGCTCACAACCATCTGTAACTCCAGTTCCGGGGATCCAGTGCTGCTGGCCACAGGCACTGCACACAATGTATACAGACACTCAATGTGGGCAACACACCCATGCACATAAAATGATAAATCTTTAATAGTAGGAGCCGGGCATGGTAGTCTCTGTCTTTAATCCCAGCTCTAGGGAGGAGAGGCAGATGTTTGAGGCCTACCTGGTCTACAGAGTGAGTTCCAGGCCAGCCAGGGCTACATAGTGAGCCCCTGTCTCTCACATAAAAGTAAACCGCTGTCTGTTTGGGGATGGGAAGGAGTAGAAGCCCCCACCCTGGGTGGAATGGGACTGGTGGCGCCCTGATCCTCCACCTCCTCCCTATCACCTGTCGCCTCTTCCCTGTCACCCGTACTGGAAGACACTGGAGCTCCAAGTCACTGCTGGTCAAAATAAACCACATAGCTGCATCTTCTTCCTAGAACTCTGCCCTCTCTTAAGCTGGCGTCTGTGATTCTTCTGGGAATATGTGGGACTCAGAGGTCTCCATACAGTTTTGAATAAAATGATCACGGAGAAGGCAGTGGGTTCCACTTCCACATTGGCCTCACCAGACTGTTCTTTGGAGCTGCCACCAGGTGGCACTGTGCTTCCAGGTTGGGGCCTTGGGCTCTGCCTGTGGCTCTCAACTAACTTGAGGGTCAAAATGACCTTAGCAGGCTGGGAATGTAGCTCAATTGGCTTAAAGCTTGTCTAACATGCCCTGGGCCCCAGGTTTAATCCCCATCATCCTGGTGATACCCTCAAGTCCTTACCGCCAGCATCAAATTTCACTTTGTTGCAAAAGATGCCTTGTGTAAAACAGTAAGATGAACACACACACATACACACACACACACACACACACACACACACACAAAGCCATTTTTGAAAACACAGACTAGAGGTCTGAGGTGTGACTAGTCTGGTAGAGTGCTTTCCTAACTTTCACAAAACCCTGTTGGATCCCCCTTCACACATTAAAGCCAGGCTATAATCCTAGCACTTGGACAGTGAGAGAATCAGGAGTTTGAAGTCATCCTCGGCTACACAGTTCCATGTCAGCCTGGGCTACAGGGTGATATGTCTCAAAATAGCAAAACAATGCAGGATAGGAATAGATGTGATAGTGCACACATCTAAAATCCCAGTTCTTTGGATTTGAAGTCAGGAGGCTCAGGAGTTCAAAGTCATCCTCAACAATGTACGAGCCTTAGGCCAGCCTGGGCTTTGTGAAGTCGTGCTTCTAAAAACCACAAAGCAAAAAGCACAGGACAGAAAACACAAGAATGGAAGTCTAACCTCAGAAGTCACCCTCCTGAACACAAGCTGACTTAGAAGTTCATCGGTGTGTTCAGCCCCAGATGCAGTCACTAATATCTACCAGTGGTGAGAGAACAGGGTGTGTGCGCACACATATGGCAGGCTGAGCAAGCCACGAGGAGCAAGCCAGATACAAGCCGACAGTGAAAACGGCTGAGTGGGCAGTATGACGACCCATGCTTGTAATCCCAGCACTTGAGATGTAGAGGCAGGAGGATCAGGAGTTCAAGGTCATCCCGAGCACATGAGACCCCATCTAAAAAACAATGCTTGTAGCAAAAGTGGGTATAACTGAGTCACGTCCACAGCAACTGTACTGGGAAAGTAAATCAGACAATAATGGGTCCTGTATAAATAGATACGTAGAGAACGACTGTTTATACACCTGGATGTCTCTAAGCCATGAACTGAGAAGACTGAGTTACTCTTAGGTCTTACCCAGCCTTCCTATGGGCCTTAAGAAGCCAATGACACAGGACTGGAGAGATGGCTCAGTGAATGAAAATGCTTGCTGCCAAGCCTGACCAACCGAGTTCCATCCCCAGAACCCATGGTGGACGGAGAGAACTGACCCACACACATCTTCTATGGCATGTGTGTATATGTATGCACAAACAGCAGACGTTTTAAAATTGTCACAAAAGTGTGTGTGTGTGTGTGTGTGTGTGTGTGTGTGTGTGTGTGTGGAGGTCAGAGGACAGCTCTCTGGAAGAGTCTCCTTTATGTGGGCTCCAGAGATTGAACTCAGGTCACCAGCCTTGCCAGCTAAGCCTCTCACTGATCTAAAATAACATGAATTTTGCCAGAACTATCAATATGTCTACCTTCTTCCTGCCTTGCCACTGTGTTAAAGTGAGTTAACAATTACATGTTATTTTCTCTGTTTCTGCTGTAAGAAAATATTTTGCTGTGATATGTTTCGATGAAATCAATGTTTTCTTGGTAACATTTGTGCCTTTTTTTGTTTGTTTGTTTATTTTGTTTTGTTTTGTTTTTCGAGACAGGGTTTCTCTGTGGCTTTGGAGGCTGTCCTGGAGCTAGCTATTGTAGACCAGGCTGGTCTCGAACTCACAGAGATCCACCTGCCTCTGCCTCCCGAGTGCTGGGATTAAGGTGTGCGCCACCACACCTGGCTTTGACATTTGTGCCTTTTATTTGAAAATAAACATTTTGGAAAAGTGCCCAGGGGTGCTCGGTCTGTGGCTGGATGGGTATATACATGTTTTCTTTTCCAACTAAGGATTCTTCATTTAATGTATTCCAAATGGGTGGGAAAACGTACAGTCTCTCACTCTCCTCTGCATGTGGTTGGGTTTGAGTCACCATTTCCGTTCAGTTCAGAGAAGCAACCAGCGTAAGTCTCTCTTGGCCTAGCACCATCTTCCTTTGGTATCTTTTGAACATCTGAAATCTTTAATGGAAAGTTATCTGATCTTCCATGTTTCTGGGTTCTGTCAGCCTTTTCCCCGGAAGAGGAAATGGGAGTCTGCTGCTTTCTCAGAACTTGCCCTCATAAAAGTCTCTCATGAGCTGTGTTTTCTGGTGCTGTGTTGCTGATTTCCTGGGCCACTCTAGTCATTTCTGAGATGACTTATTCTATCCCATTAGAAGTTTCTAGTAACAGCTGGCAAGGCTAGAAGGGAGAGTGGTCTCTGCAAATGAGAAGCAGCCTCTGGGTGTGAAACAATTCAGTGGTTCAAGGCTCACTAGTAAGATCCCCTGTAAAAAGGGCAAGAGCTCGCGCGCACACACACACACACACACACACACACACACACACACACACACACAGAGTGCTGCCCTTCTGCTCAGACTGGGCTCTGAGTTACCCATATAAGAATGGAGTATCCAAAAATGTCTCCTCCTCAAGAGAGATTTGCTATGTATTCATGTTGGAGAAAATTCATAAAAATCCATTATGGACATATTAGTCATCTTCTGCCACCCAACTGATACCAACTAATAACAGTACAACACAGTCACCTTAAAACTCAGGGAGCCTTGGTCAGTGCCTGGGCCACTGTCCACTCTTGGCAGCCATCTGCTTCAGTGAACTCCCATCTGCTAAGTGACTTAGGCTTGTGCCTTCTAGAAAAGGTGACTTCCTGTCTCAGGGAGCAAGATTAACAAAGACCAAAGGTGTGTCCCAGGAAGCCTTGGTGTCAGAAGGCACAGAATTTTCCAGGTGATGACTGGCTCTGCAGACTCTGCCTTCTTTCTGAGAGCAGTATTCAGACATTACACAGGCTTCATCAGGGTTCCTCAGCAGTCACAGCTCCCTGCTGACTTCTTGAGTCTGTGCATGGTTCCTCGGTTCCTTCACCTTAAAGAAAAGCTCTTGAGAAAGTCTGAGATGGAGGCAGGTATACCAGGCAGTGGTGGTACATACCTGGATCCCAGTACTCCAAAGGCAGAGATAGATGGATCTCTGAGTTCAAGCCAGTTTGGTCTATATAGTGAGTTCCAGGTCAGCCAGACCTATACAGTGAGACCCTGTTGACCCCTACCCCACCCCCCAAAAGCAGAAAGTTAGAAGAAAAAGCAATCTAACCATTGACCACTGAAGGCCAAAAACACCCTATGAAGTAACAGGCAGAGAGTGAGAGAGGAGGATGGCTAACACCCGTTTCTAATACTCA